TTTTGAAGACCCTTATTTGATTTTTGGACCTTTGACATCATTGGGCTCTTGGTGCAACTTGCAGTCAGGACCCTGCAAGTCAAAATGCAATTAAAAAAAGAGAGTCGTAAATGTTTTTAGCACAAATGAGGAAAGGTGTGTGGGAAAGTTGAGCAAGACTGAGGTGAAGGGCTGTGGATAAATATGGAACAAAGGCTAAGCAATATGGATCAATGCCAGAGCAAATAGGAGGAGTTGCCAGTTATCTTTGACCAATCTTATCAGAATCAGCCCCAGAGGAAAGGCTACCAGCATTCCCTCAGGAAAATATTTGATAGCTGGGTGAGATTTTACAAAGAAGGTAGGGAACACATACAAATTAGTTATACAACCACAGAAAAGCATAAACAAACAAACAAAACCACAAAAAAACTTCTTACGTAAAGCAGTCATAGTAGATGGAAACAGAGTGAAAGTACAATAAGCATCACCACTAAAGCATCTTCTCCAAATGGGAAGAATGGTGAAAATAACACAAAATATTAACTGACTGATTCTAAAATACACCCTTGATTCCTGCAACTGTGAAAGGCAAATTCTGTTCTTTTCCAATGGTCTTATCTTGGAATCAGAGGTTCAGGAGAGACAAGTTTCCACTGGAAATAATAGTGAAAGTTTAAATTCAAAGTGAAGTATTTTTCCAATAAAATCTGTCTGGAAAAGGGTCTGTTTTAAGAAACAATGTGCATCACAAATTTTGCTTTACATACAACACCTCACATTAATAGACATACTAAATAAATGAAATAAGCACTTTATTTTCTGTGTTGTAAAGCTGAATAGCAAATAATTTTAAAAAATCTTGACTATTTTAAAAAAAAGCTGTGTCAGTTCAAATGTTAACAGATCTTAGCCAAAATTTTTATGGTATAATCACCGTGTTTATTGCATGGAAGTGTTGAAACTATTGCTCATCCAGCAGCCCTCATCAACTTGCACATATACACCTACCAGATGTGTAATCTTATTAAAAGAAGCTTGAAACTTATTTAACTCTAAATAAAGAGTAGCACTTAGGCAAAATACTGAGTGATTAAAGCATCTTGCACTCTGCAATAAGTAAAGCAGGAAAAATGAGCAGATTCCTTCATCCTTGTTTTTTCCAAATTCTCTCCACAAAATCAAGAGCATTAAGACCCTGTAGACAATACAGGAGCTATGATTAAGTAGAGCTACATACTTTCATCTCCTTCATACACATCAATATTGATGTTCCCCCTCACCTCAAGCTACACAAAAAATAACACCAAACTTACTGCCTGATTTAACTGGGTATAACAGAAAGATCAGAGGGAAAAATGCAAGTGAGACACAATACATTAAATTTCTGTTAAAGATTCCACCTTTAGGCAGAGCTGGTATTGTGTAATGTAAGGGCCTGAGCAGAGGTGGTTGGAACAGGTCGTGCAGCCCTTGGCTCGGGCAGGGTCAAACCTTCACTCCAGCACCCAACAAAAGGGGATGTTTGGCCAAACAGGCAATTTATTTTGCAAGTTTTCCTTTGATCTGTTCTATCAAGACAATGCCAAGGTGAAGAAACATGTTTGAGTTTTTTAAAAGCGAGGAGGAAGCAAAAAGAAGGCTGCACGTGGGCAATGAGGGCGAAGTGACTGCAGTGGATGGAATAAAGCAAGTTAAAGGGGAAGAGAGAAATGAGTATTTGGATTCAGGTGTTCCAGTGGTTTCCATCTCCTGGAGAGCTTCTCACAAACACCGTCCAAGTATAGAGTAAGAGAGACCAACTTCCACAAGAGCTCAGTTACCACTTTTTCACATACTTCCAGTGCAATCCAGTCACATCCTGTAAGCCAGGCTTAAAGCTGCCAACTTGCCCAGCTCCCATCCCAGGGAAGGCTGGCTTAAGGCATTTTGTATTTTCAGTCTATTTGGGGAGTGTTGCAGCTGCGACTTGGTCTGCAAACAGAATTTCTCATCTATCTCTCCCCAATAATTCTTACAAAATATATGCACAAGGTCAAAGATTCTCAAGACTTAAGTGTGGAAAATAGGATCATATAATAGTTTGGCTTCCCAGCTATTTGTAGGAAAGTGTATCCATTTGTGTGTCAATCCTGAATCAACAATCACAGAGAGGAGGATTATTGCACTAGGGAAAACAAACAAACAAACAATAAAATAAAATATTAACAAAGTTCCCAATACTGGTCAAAGTTTAAAAATGGGGAAACGTGAGAGAAATGAGCAAAGAATAAACATTGACATTTACTGACACAGCAAATCTATATAAAGCATTCTCTGTTTTATCACATTATGAAACAGGAAACCAAGTTTTTTTTCTGACTTGGTCCATTAGAGATTTACAGTATTTGAATCATAAGATCCCACTAAACAAAAAGCTTTTTATAATCTTGTGAAGATTTAAATGAAATGGATTAAGATCAAGGCGAATTTCTGAGGTCCACAAGAAATCATGATGATGTTGTCTTCTTTGACCTCCTTGATTCAGCTACTTTGGTCTGGGAGGCAGAATGTAAAATTATTTTATCTTTTTCATTAAAAAGGCATTAAAACTCTCAATTTACCAAGCTTCAGTGGGTGACACAAAAATAAATTTCAGCCCAGTTCCTGAGAGCTCTCCTCAGGGAGATTTCCAGCTGCTCTGGGGTGGGAGTTTGGCTTTGGGTGGAACTCCAGCGTGACAAAGTCCCAGCTTTCATCACACAACCAAATTTCAGGCTCTGCTCAGCAATCCAGGCTGTAAAAGTGTCATCATTAACAGGGATCTATCAGGATATGCTTCAATTGTTATTTTTACACCACTGCCTCATTGTTCAGCTCTGATTTGCTTTCCCAGAGTATGTAACTGTGCATCCTTTTACAAGCTTTTGCAAACCCAGGGCTTCTTCAGGAATATTCTTCGGTCTGACTGATCCATTCCCACAACTGAAATCACTTTGAATGAGAAAACCTCAGGATTTTTCATGTGAGAGAAACTTCCACAGGAAAAGTATATTGATATGGCACAGAAGAGAACAGGAATGTGACAGATTTGTACGTACCTCAAACAGCTGTTTGTGAGATGATGGTACAGCACAGACTAAAAGTCTTTAGTTCTCAGGCTGGATTCAAGAGCTAAGTTAGAATCCTGCAATTACTGAAACATAAACCACAAATCTGGCAAAACTGCCTTAATTTCACGTCAAATAATCAAAATAGAGCCTTGGTGCTTTTCCAGTTCTGTCCAAAATGGACTTAGGCAACTGCTTGGGTTGCACCCTTGATGTCAACAGAGTCCAGGGTATGCTCAAGTCCACATTTGCATGTCATGACCTTTGTCCTGACCCCACAATTTTGAGTTTAAGTTCAACAATTTCAGCTGAAGTTCTACAACATTGCCTGGGGAGAATGGCCAAGCTTTACCACACACTGCAAATCTTCATGTAATGTACGACAGAAGATCAGAACATGCAACATTTCTCTGGATTGACTGCCTTCTGCAAGGCCGCTGTGAAGCCCCAAACCCCACACCAAACTAAACTCAGAGTGCAGAAAAGTCGCAGAAGGGCCACCTACCAACCTCCTGCAGCAACCAGGGGCAGAGAAGCCTGTCCACCCTGGCCTTTAACACTTCCAGGGATGGGGCAGCCACAGCTTCTCCGGCCAACCTGTGCCAGGGCCTCACCACCCTCACAGTGAAACATTTGGTGAGAAAATGGTGACTCACAGATCCACCTGTCTGAGAATTTATGTATCAGATCTCCAGAGAATAAACAGGCTTTTTCTCCAAGATGAGTAACAATATTTGGCAAATCAACATGATTGGTTTGATGGATGCTGAAGTTATGGATACCTACACACTGCTTAGGAGGCAATTTCCATTCATGGCTTCCACCAGGCAATGAGCCAGCTGGGTTCAAGAAAGCCCTGATTTCCTTTTTCCAGTATATTTAAAGCAGTAACAGTCTGATCCAAACCTAGCTCACCCTTCTTCCCTGGATAACATGTAGCAATCCCATGAACTCACTCATGTCCTCACCTCGACAAATGCGATTTGAGAATCTGCTCAGGTTTTTTGGATACTCAAGATCAAACATTTTGGGAAAGGGAAAACAACCTAGGGTTAAAGGCCCGTGAGAAGGAGAGGAACTCCTGAAGAAGCTGTAATTTCCCAAACATTAGTTTCAAATCCACTACCAATTCCACTGTTACAGATGAGCATCTGAAATAAAACCGTAATAAGAAAACATTGAGAAATTCTCCTCTATAGATCACTGAAAATTGTAATGACACAACCTGTCGAGGGAATGTTTGATTTTAATTGAACAAAACACAAAATCAAAACACAAGTGAGATTGTGCCATGTCAACAGTCTATAATTCTCACAGTAAGTAGCTGTAAATGGATTTATTGTCTCATTTGTTTGAAGAAACAGCATTATTGTTCTTCCAGTGCTGCCCAACCCTCTCAGCACCTTCTGAAAAAGCCAAGTTTTCTGTGTGACACCTGTCATGGCCAGTTTAGCAGCACAACACAGGTCATTTAAGCACAACTGTGTACTTGAAATGTGAGTTTTCAGAACAAAAGCAGCTGCGAAAGGTACATACAACCTACCCAGCCCATTCCAGGTCTCCTCATCACTGCACAAGGTGTTTCCTCTCTGTTCCACATTCCCTGGTTCTTGATTTTCTTTTTTAACCTGACACTGTCCAAATTTTAGCCTAATTTCTAAACCACTCTAAATTACAGAAGAATTTATTAATAATGATAATTTATGGGCATGGTCTCATACCTCACAGTGTACAACAAGACACACAGTTCCTTACCTGGGAAAGAAAAAGTAGGGATTTAGGAACAAAATAACTACATTTGGAAACTGATATCAATTACCCAGAACTTCAACAGCTTCTGCACCATCTCCAAAAAAAGCTGATGAAGTTATGAACTTCCTAGATTAAAACACACTATTTGAAGACATTTTCACAGAAAACATGTAGCCAAGAGATTTTTAAATTCAGTTTATTTCAGAAGCAAAAGAAGACAACAATATAATTCACTTAGCAGACACAACCAAAATTAAGAAGATTAGGCCTTGTTTACTCTTTTCCAAAACTCATTAGGATTCAATGTTCCAACAAGAAATATTCCCACCTAATCACGTAGCTCTTTCACAGCTCCCACCTGCCTGATCAGGTAAAAATCCAATGGAATTCCAGAATACAATAGGTTATCAGTTCATATTATTTTACTGCACCTCTATCCCAGATAATTTAACACTATATGTTAGTAGATCACTGAGTTGCAGTGATTAGTAGCTTTCTACTTAATTTTAATAAATAGCTTTCTAATTTAATGGGACAGCACTTAGTATGTACTTTTCTTTATTATCTGCCATCACTTCTGGGAATTCCCACTTAAATGTCAAATCAGGAAATAATCCTATTCAAAATACAACTCAAGACAGACCCAAAAGTGCGCTGAATATTGAAAAATCACCTCCAAACTGCCATGATTTGATGTTTTTATCACATTTGCCTGAGTTAAGAGTTAGTAGCTCGGCTCTGAAATGCTCTGTATTTAGCTTGGACACTGATGAAATTAGGTAACATTAAACATGCCTAAAATCAGGCTTTATACATATTTTCTAGATACCTACATTCATTAGAACACTCCACTTTAAAGTCTTATTCTGAAAACTAGCTCTGGCTTGATTCAGAAATAGCAATATCAGATTATTGCAGTAAAACAACAGAATTTCAGGAACCATTTGGAATAATTTTGAAAGGCCCTGAGCTTGAATTAGGCCAAGTTAAAAATATTTGTGCATTTGGAGGTTAATCTGCCAAATAGTTGGCATATTTATATTTTTCTATTTAAATTCTTACAGATTAGAAAGAACAATTTACCTCCCTACGCCTGAAAGGACTTTAAGATGGAATCAAATTTCTTGGACAGTGTATGGAATAAGAAAATATCCTTTCCTATGTCCGCTATGTCAGTTATATCCCAACCAAGCATTAGCAAGCAAAGATTATCTTAAAATACATATTGGGATAAAATGTACTTATACTGAGATTAAATTTTGTAGTTAACTTCATTTCTACCATAAGGAATGAGACATACCAACATTTTACTCAAACTTCTGCATCACATTTTACTTCTGGAAGGCCAAAACTGAAATTTAAAGGATGCATTTACAAATACATATAGATAACCATTTCATAAGAAATAACTGAGCAACATCAATTTTTTAACATTACAAATTTATCCATGAGGACAATCACAGTGTCGTTATAGAAATCCTACTGTGTGATTTAGCCAGGAAAGTTTGACACAACAAAATTAGACAGTATTTTGATTAAAAGAGAATTTCTAACCATGAATTGCCTTTAAAAACACCATATCAAGCAGTAAAGCACTCGTGTTGAAAGGCACTATTGAGGGGATCATTAGCTCCTGTTACCTGGTTTCCAATACAGATAAAAGCACTTGGAAGCTCAACAAATCACCCCTTAGAACACTCCCGTGTTTGGGCCAAGATGTGCTACGTTCATGAACGTGTTCAACTGGTTCTTGTGCAGTTGTAGGGATGCAAAATTCATAAAGCAAATCTCTGCAGGATGTTTTACAAGTTGGATCTTTCCTTGACAGACATAGGAGATGTGGACTGTCTGTATGTCCTAATCACATCCTAAAAATAACACAACATTTCCATTAAAATTAGAGAACTTCAGAGAAAAAATGAGTACTCGAGTCAATGCTGTGGCTCCTTGGAGCAAGCACTGAGCCCAGGAAAGGCTTGTGGAAATGCTTCATTACCATTACAAAGAGGGGGTAATTAACCTGAACACATCACAGATCACATACAGTTATTTTCCAGCCTTACAAACCCCAGCTGACACAAAGTAATTGCACATCATTGGTTAATCAACATTTAATTGAGTGTTATTAGAGTGATGTTTCCTTATTTTGTAATTCTACATGCACTGACTTCTGGCCTTCAAATCAAATGGGGATCAAGACCAATTTCTCACTTCACTGGATTTACAAGAGAAGGCAAAAGAATTCACAGCCAGTCAAAAATCAGCTACAAAAATCATGACCATACCTTTTTCCCACTCTCAGCATTGTACTTGTCCAGCAAAGCCTGGATACAGGCACCATAGTTAGGATGAACATCAGTGAAGTTTTTCACCTTAACAGGAAGACAGAACAGAAAAGGCAACAGGAATTTTTTTCCTCCGTTTCAAACATATTCTTTAGCACATTTCTGCTCCGTGGTTTACAAGCAGTACTTGTATCATAAGGACGAAAAGGAGGATGGAAACTCTTTTCTATAGTTTAATTCTGACCAGCCAGAAATGAGATATGAACATCCTGAAACACTGTTTCTACTGTCTCACCTAGAGCTCATTCCCAATTTAAACCAAATTGCACTGGGAAGGATAAAGATCTAATCCCTCCCTGGCCCTCACTGCCTTTTCCTTGTTTAGAGCAAAACATTACACTGGCAGTCATCTGATTTTTGAAGCACCAAGTTAAATACATCCTAAATGTTCAATATCTACCCTATTCTTTGCACCAGGAAAAGGTTATTTTAACATGTTATATGTTATTTATACTATGTAAATAGGCACATCTGTATTGAGAATTCCTGTGTAAGAAGAAATCCAACCTTCTCAGAGAATTCCTGATCTTCTTTTCCATAAGCATGTTGCCATTTTGACAAAATTACCGGACTGGGAGAAAACCTGGAATAAAGAGCCAAGGCTAAAAACCAAAGAGGCCACTTACAGCTCGTTTCTGGATGAAGAGTTGTGCATCCTTCAGGTGCTCAGCAATGTTTTTACAGAGCCTTTGGCGTTCTGCCTCATTCAGTACTTTGAGGTAGAATTCCCGTACCTTGCCATTGGAAAAAAAAAAGGGTTATTTGGAAATTCCCAAAAGCAAGCAGTTAGAAAATATGCAAAATACTCAAAATACTTAAAACTCAAAAGGCAACCAAACCTGTGAGGGTTTTCCTTTGGCAAACCTGCCAATTCCTTCTGGTCCTAACTTGAACTAACTGTTGCTTATGGAATTAATGAAAACAAATATTGCTGTCAGGATCTAATTCAGGAATTGAGGATCACAGCATGACACACTCCAGTTTGCATATCTGCAGATACTACTGGCAAGAAGTCACGTCACAGCCTTTTATATATTGATGCTCAAAGTATGGATGGCAAAGGTCTGGGACAATTCGCTAATTGTCCTGACAGCAAAAATTCAGTTATTCATGAGACTGTGCTGTTTGGAGACCTTCAGCTCAGCCCAGGTGCTTCAGAAAGGAGTCACGTCTGCATGACACTATTAATATTCTCTAAAGTCACCCTGTAAACCCATCCTGTCCTTCCATGCCCCACACCTGAGTCACATTGTCCTCATTGGCACTGTTGTAGCGCTGCACGTCCCCTGAAACGAACGTTCGGTTCTCCTTAAGCTGAGGCTGATCTTCTGGACCAGTAAAGCTATTGGGGTAATAATTTGGGGCACCACCTGAAAACAAATAAAAACAACCCCCCAAAAGCCAAAACAATCAGATGCCAGCACTCTCAGATTAAGCCAGAAGACAATGTTCTTTGCTTAGAAGAACATAAGCTTCCCTATACAGGGGGTGTATTTTCAACACAAACTCACAGAACTGCATAAAAATGAAATTATTATCTGTTCCTGGACAAGAGCAGCTGTTCTCAAGTTCTTGTTTTTCAAATATTTCCTTCTCCTCCCTCAGCAGGTGTCAGAATCCCTAGCCCAAGGGAATACATATTTTGGCATGAGCCACAGCCTAAGTATATCCTTGTTTACTCTCAGGAGTAAAACCGTCACTATTGGGCAAACACTGACAGGCCATGAACTGCTCAACAGAGGGAAAGTTACATTTCATTTTCACTCTTGCCTGTCACAATCTCTTGGAAATTAGAAAAGCAAAGCATTTCAGTGAAGTGGACTGAGCATAAGAAAGTCAGTTTTTAAATTTAACAGATTCAAATACAGATTTCTCAAAGACATTTAGCCCACCTCTATTATTTTTAGATTAGATTTTGCCTAGAAGTAGAAACAAAGAGGTAGTAATTAACTTCTGTAAAAATACTTCTCTGACATGTTTCTTCATTTCAAATTATGAATTTAGAACTTTTTCAATTAAACCCCTTTAACAGGCATGTTTCTAGAAGTCTTTAAAGGAACATAACTAGGGACAAACAATACTGAATGAATTTTACTGCAGGTGTTCTCCTGCAACCCCCCTTTCTCTTAAAGGCCTATTTGTTAAGTTTTTAAAGACATCTTAAGCTTCACTTGGTTATTAAATTTTTAAACAAACTCCCCATCTTGTATCTAAACATCTGAAGTCTCCTTTCCTGGATTAAAAGCAGAGATATACACCCATTATAACAAGTATGTAAAGATGATAAACATTCTAATTTTCAGGTACCAAAAGCTTCCTTCCCCTGCCCCCCTTTGCTTACAAAATGAATAATTTAGTCTTTTTTTAGAAAGCAGAAGTTACACACATCGATTTGAAAACCACTTATATTTAAGCATATCAACTACTGGAAACAAGCCTGAAGTTGTGTCAGAAACATCCATGAGCTTCTTTAGAGTCTTAAAAAAACACATGTAGATAATATATTCTGTAATCTACCCAATCAAACTTCTGTTTTACAGGAAGTTTTGATTCTCAAAATTTGTACAAGACTGACAAGAGATAGAGTGGATACACAAATAAGAGTGGTGAAGGCTGGGAATTCTGAAGCTCGGGAAGTGAACAGAAAAGAATTCTGCACTCCATGCATAAGTGTCATTACACTGAAAGGTATTTGCATGCCTACCTTGGTTGTCAGTAACAGTCATTGGTCCATCCCTCTGGTAATTGGCCACACGGGCTCTGAAGGGGCAGTTCACAGGGATTTGGAGATAATTTGGGCCCAGGCGGTGTCTGTGAGTGTCAGGGTATGAAAACAGACGTCCCTAAAATATCATAAACAGAAAAGAGATCACTGCAGTGGTACATGTCAATTCAAAGCATTGACCATTATTTCACTTATTGTTAAATGTATTATTTACTGAACTGAACCTTCAGCAGTTCTGGTGACATACAGATGCCAAGACAACAGACTAACTCTGACTATGAAGTTTGAGGGAGTGAAGAGAGGCAAAAAAAGAACTGCATGATGATTCAAGGGTTTATCCAGTTAAAACTGTCAAAATACCTTCTTGTTTCCACAGCTATAATTTGAAATAACAATTTGGATTTAATCTGCAAAACCATAACATGCAAATATCCATGACTCTGCAACGAGCCTTATTAAATGTTGTGAGCTGTAAGAAATTCAATACTACTTCTAAAGAACAGTCCTGTGGTTTGTATCAGGAATTAGTTATATCTGTATTTTAGAGCACCAAAGTCAACCTCTTACTCGTAAGAGTTTAGAATTCTGAGAAATGCTGTAAAAACATGAATAAATGTGCATTGCTGCCACGGTTTCATCCATCCCAGACTGGCAACTTTGGTAATTGTTGCAGATGCGCTCTAAAGTCCAGATTTTCTCTTCCTTTAGTTCTGTCCTGTTCTGTTTATATTTCAATTCTGCATGAGCACATCAAATGGTGATCAATAAACCACCACCACAGAAAAAATAAATAAAAACATCAGTTGCTTTCGATCCATCAGGTTTACTGCTGCTACACAAACAGGGATAGGAATGTTTTCATATACAGCAAAGCAAACAATGCTCACCAGGTCAAATCTCATACACATTGCAGTTTACCTGCAGCATTTTATCAGGGCTAGGTTCAATCCCAGGTGGCATGTTGCTTGGATCATATGCCATCTGTTCCACCTCTGCAAAGTAGTTGACAGGATTCCTGTTCAACACCAGCTTCCCCACAGGTTGGAGAGGGTAGTCACCATGTGGCCAAACCTATGAGACATAACACACATACATTAAAACCAACATTATCATAGTATTATCTGGCTTAATTGCCAGGCAGCATTTGCCTGATTTAAGCCTTGATTGAGAAAATTCATTACTGCATTTCTTTTTTGCTAACAAACATTGAGAAATGTCTTATTTTAAGAAGTCTTTTGCAACTAATACAGAGTATTAATGCAACTTATTTCATCATCCCAGGATAATCTCAGCTCTTGAGTACTTAAATCAAATACCCGCAGGGGCTTGAAAAACTGCCTAGGAATGCACCTCGTAGGTGGAACTGGTGGCACAACTGTTTTCAGCTACTTCAAAATGCTTAACTAGCTTAGCTGGCCTTGTCTTTGTCACTTGAGCCATTATTTTCAAGTTCAAAAAGTCTTCAGCCATTTGGGGAGAGCAATATTAGAGGGAAAAAAGAGTAGTACAAGTTTTTGTGAGGATTTTCCAACAGGCCATTCCTAGGAACAGCTACTGGAAGTCTGACAAAATTAGAGCAACAGAGCTCAGGGTGTGACCCTCTGATCTGAGATCACAATTCTGAAGTGTCATCCAGTTCTGGAATCAAGCCCTATCCCTATTT